TGCATATGTTCACTGTGGCTTTCTCCTATTAGATACAAACTGCCTGAGTGAGGTGCCTTGTCTGCTTTGTGCCTTGTTATATCTCCGGGCCCAGCACAGTGCAGACACAGGAAGCCCTCAATATGTGAGGTCCCCTGGGTGGAAAAGGGGCCAAGTTCTGGAGGGCAGGGACCTAGATATCCTATTTCCTCCTGCCTCCCTGTGGCATAGCAGGGAGTAGGAATGCATCAAAGGGGTTCAGTATCTGGGGGTGGGGGTAGAACAGCTCTTGACTCTTGCCCCCTTGTGTTTCTCAATAGGTCAGGACTGAAGTAACAGTGCAAAGAAAAACAGCCTGAGGCTCGCAGATAGCAGATGACGCATATGTATAAAAGTCATTTTTTAAATTAGGAAACTTGTTGCAACCTTAGTCTGAGTTCATTATCTGGCTGCCTGGACCCAAGCCCAGCCAGGGTCGCTTGGACACTGGCAGTTCCCGAGCACTATTTGTTCATCTTACCCCTGGTACCACATTCACATGGTGTTCCTGACCTGACCCTTGGGGCCCTTTACCCCAGTCCATCTGGGGCCCAGATCAGTTTATCCAACTTGGGGAATTCAGATCCCCTGAGGGTGAGGCCACCGGCAGCTTTGTGGAGGTCATTCCAGGAAGTGCCTCACTCAACCTCAGTTTCCCCACCTAAGAGCAGGGAAGCAAGGGAGGGGGAGAGGGGGAAGACTGGGGAAACCCAGTGACGCTTGAGGTCTAGTCTAGCTTCTGCTACCTCTCCCACTCACCGGTGGCCAGGACTTCCTTACTAGCAGTGGCCCAGCTGAACCAGATCATCTCCCAACTCTGGGACGTAGCATCTGGAGAGCAAAGACCCCTGAGTCCAGTGGACCTTGCTGAAGCAGAGCCACCTATCCTGCCCCACCACACCCCCTGAAAATAAAGACCCCATGTTCCTTCTTTCCTGCCTTCCTCCATTCCCCTCCCCACTCCTAGAACTTGTCAGAGTTTGGCCTATCCCCTCAGATCCCGTCTCTCTGTCCACGAATCCAAGACGTTGGGCAACCACTAATTCAGCAACATTTCATCCAGGGCCTTCCATCCGCCAGGTAGAGACCTGAAGGCAGTCTCCATCTGTAGCCTGCTGGCCGGACAACACCGGCCCCTGTCCTCTCCCTCTTCCCTGGGACTCCTGTATGATCGGCCCTTATTCACTCACATGGCTCATTTGTTCTCCCAATTACCAATTTGCTCATTTTCTCCAGTTTTCACTAACACCCACCCAACCACTCACTCACTCACGTCCGTCACATTCACTCGTGGAATCCATCTGGGAATGGACTGGCCCAAGATGGGGTTAGGACATAAATGCAGAGGCAGAATGACACAGAAGGCTCGGCAACCGTGTGCTCAGGTGGAGGCCCCCAAAGTCTGAGCTCGAGGGGCCCTCACAAAGATCAGCCCCCTCATTGAACAGATGGAGTAGAGGAGGCCCAGGGAGGCCTCGGTTGGCCCCGGGCCACTGGGTCAAAGATGAAGAAGCTGCCACTTGCAGGGCGCTTCTGGCCTGCCCACCATGCCAGGATCAGCTCTCCCAGCCCTGTCCACATCACGCTTTCCGGTCCTGAGCCAGAGACCGGGGGCTGGGTTCAAAAGGCAGGGTCATGCTCTCAGAGACCTGGACATGGATTCAGAAGGAGTTATACAACCAGGGCTGGCAGGGCCTTCCCTTCAGAGAGCTCCCAACCCTTCCCTTTATAGCCATGGACACCAGAGCCCAGGGAGCCTACCTGCAAGAGGGCCTGGCAGCAGCCCCAAACCCAAACCACAGGGTCCAGCCTTGTGGTCTTTGGCTGTACCCACTCCTCAGCCATCCTGGATGTCTGAATACAAAGGAAGCCCCACTTTCCGGTGGAGAAAACATTTTAAGAATATTTTTCCTGGGCGCCTGGGTGGCTCAGTTCGTTAAGCAACTGCCTTTGGCTCAGGTCATAATCCTGGAGTCCCAGGATCGAGCCCCACATCGGGCTCTCTGCTCAGTGGGGAGTCTGCTTCTCCCTCTCCCTCTGCCTGCAGCTCCCCCTGCTCATGCTCTCTCTCTCTCTCAAATAGATACAATCTTTTTTTTTTTTTTTTTTAAGAATATTTTTCCTGGGATGCCTGGGTGGCTCAGTTGGTTAAGCTTCTGACTCTTGGTTTCGGCTCAGGTCATGATCTCACGGTCATGGGGTCGAGCCCCAAGTGGAGCCCCCCCTTGGGCTCTGCACTCAGTGTGGAGTCGGCTTGTCTCTCTCCATCTGCTCCTCGCCCCCACCCTGCTCACTCTTTCTCTCTAAAAAAATAAAATCTTTGAAAAAAAGAATGTTTTTCCCAATAAAGGTCAAAAACAAGCAAAAAATGTTTTAAAGCTGGAAATGAATCAATCAAATCTTAAGTAACCTGTAAAAATTAAATTGTTTCTCTTACTCTATTAATTTCGAAAACTTGCTCTTTTCTACTCATAGTTTAGGAAACAGTTTTTTTTTTAAAGATTTTATTTATTTATTTGAGAGAGAGAGAATGAGAGATAGCACGAGAGGTAAGAGGGTCAGAGGGAGAAGCAGACTCCCTGCTGAGCAGGGAGCCCGATGCGGGACTCGATCCCGGGACTCCAGGATCATGACCTGAG